AGTGGAAGGTGTCCCTGCCCATGGCAGGGGTTGGGAAGGGATTATCTTTCAGGTCCCTTCCAACCCAAACCATTCCAGGATTCTGTGATTCCATGATTTTTCTCTTGGTGCAAATGTCTGTGTCCCAAATGGTGTTTCCCAGGGAGATCTCACTGACAGGTTTTGTCAGACCAAGGGCTTTGTCTTTACATGGATCATTTTGAATCAGGATGCAGGCTTGGAAAATAATATCCTTTTTCTTTTCTCTTGTTTCTAGAGGAATTCCTTAGGGTGATGTCTGTGGAAAAACCAGCTCTCCAGTCTGGAGGTTCAGCTCAAGCTCTTCATTCTTTTAGTTCTGTGAGTTCCCTTTCAGTCCCCTCTTGTGAATAATGTGCATTTAAAAGGCCATGAAACGAGATGTAACCCATTGCTGGGCTGAAAACAGTGTTTTCAGACATTTCTGTCAGGTGTGGAAAACCTTCCTGTGCTGAGGGAGAAGGGGAAGAGCCTCCCAAGAGCAGCAGGGAAGGGAACTGCAGGAAAGGGCAGAGGGAGGCTCTGGACAACACTGATACAACCAGGAGTGGGAACCTTTCCCACAGCCACCCTGAGGAAAGGGGGTCTGGGAGCCAGGGGAGTCTCCCAGGGGCAGCAGGAGCAGCTCCAGCCCTGGGTGGGTGATGTTCTCCTCCCTGCTGTGCTCCCCAGGAGCTGCTGCACACTGGGGGTGGGTGGCTCCTGCCGTGGAACCCGCTCTCCTGTGCTTTTGCAGCTGGACAGTTTGTAAACAACCCCCCCATTTATTTATTTAGCTCATCGAGTTTGTCTTTTTTTTTTTTTGGTCTTTTATTTTCGAGCAGAACTGGTGCCCTCTCGTGGCCAATTCAGTGATAAAGTATTAACGTCAAAACGTCGCCTGATAAAACAAGCAACAACTTTTTAGTTCGTGTGGAGCCTCTGATCTCCGAAGTGAAAAAATGCATGGAAATTAGAGTGGGAGTGTTGTCAGGAGCAGGTCTCTGTACACTTGTTTGCCTTCCTGCTCATTGGGTGGGACCGTTTTCAAGCACTGAAAATCCACTCTGGAATATCCCTTGTGATTTATGATTGGAGAGGTGGGTCAGCCTGCAGGGGAGTTTGGTGCCCAAGGCACGTTTTTAAGCACTTATTTGTCATTTGTCACGTTTTATCTCCTGCAGAACTGGGTAGGGCAGCAAAGCAGAGTCACTGCAGTGCTGTGCCATGCCAGAGTTGTGGTGATTAAGGCTTTCTCTTGACACAATCTTTTCCTGTGATGTTGTTTCCCAGTTTTCTGCATAAACAAGCCCATGAGATATTTACATTGTGACAACTTGGTCATTTTTTCCTCTTGGAAAAGTTTTATTAGCAGCAGTTTTTAAAACGTGCCAGAAACACATCAAGGCTATAAAATCTTTTATTGTGTTTTACTGGTAAAAAGAATGTTTTTAAAAAAAAAAAAAAAAGTACTTGGTGGATTCCATCCAGAATTTCCCAGTAAAATAACCTGGGAAGTGGGTTATGCAACAGGCTCACTGTGTGGGTGTGAAGTCAGGGGAGAGTCACCACTGACTCTGGGGATGTTTTATCTGCTGTTCACTTGTCCAGAGCCTGGAGTGGATCTTCATCCATAAATATGTAGGTATTTATGGATTCTCCTGCTGTGGAATACTGTGTGACTGTATCACAAAAGCTTTGGCACACACCCCACTACCTGAAACAAATTGCTATTTATTTTCCCACTTAATGTTCTATTTCTGTGTTGCAGAACCTCTTATCTCCAGATGTACACCAGGCCTGGGTCACCCCTAACAGAAGATACCCTAAAACTGGTATTTATTGCTTTTTTCCTTTCAGCCCTTCCAAAGTAGAGGCTGTCTTTCCTAATTCCCTGGCAGCTGTTCAGACAACCAGACCAAATCATCCTCACACAATTATGACCTATCTCCCCAGCTTCCTGATTCTTCATTCTTCCAAACTACACTCCCTTCCCAACCTTGAATAGGCCTTTTCTGTCTCAGAGAGAAACATCCTTTCTTATTATACAGCAACCAGAAAACCACGTAATTTTTCCAGTGTGTGGTCTAATGCAACTACACTGAGATATTGGAGGGCTTTCAAAATCAAAACAAAACCCACTTACAATTGTTCTTGGAACAAGAACACTTGTGTAACTGTGCTTGGATTTTTCTGTGTTACAAAATGACTTTCCTTGCGTTTCCTTAGCTGGTTTTGGAAAGTTTTTTGTCTAAAGCTCGACTGGTCTTGCTTTTCAGAGGAAAACAGGAAATTTTGGGAGTAAGTGAAATGAGGATGCCTTGGTGCCCACCTCTGCTGGCCTCCCACTGTGGGAACACCAGTCTTGTATCCTGGGAATTCTGTGGGCAGCTTCTGAAGCCAGTCTCCATGGGAAGAAAACCTCCAGAGTGTGGAAGATCTTGTGTTTGAATCCTGAGCTCGTGATCCCTGAGATCCCTGAGATGAGCTGGAGATGGGTAACTCTAAAACTTACCCCATATTTCCTTAGCAGCTCCTACACTCTTGTGCTCTCCTGTTTTGTGCCCATGGAGCTCACTGAGGAGCTGTTATCACTGCTTTTACTGGGGGAACTTTTGGAAAAATTAAACTGTTTGAGAATCTGCCACCTCTTGTTTTGCAAAGAAATATCATAAAGATTGGCAAAGACAGGGTAAATCTGAGATCTATTCTAGTTGTCCTAAAAGCTCCCATTTTAAAGGTGTCATTTCCAAACAAGCTCCTAAATTTTTTATTCTTAATAAAGGTTCTTGCTGTATGCAGAGAGGAGCAGAAACTTCCCCCTTTTGGGGAACTCCCAAATGGTCAAAACTCCTGAGACTTTATGTTGCCTCTTGGAATTTGAATGCCCAGGCTCAGTTTTTGCTTGAAAATCCCAATAATAAATGACAGATGTTACAAACCCCTGGGTGCTGTGAGGAAGGTCACAAGAGTTTGCTTCTAAGAATCAATTTGAATTTCTCTTTTCCTGCTGACAGCTCCATGCTAAGGGTGGGCCTGCATTTGATGGGAGCCCTGCAAGCTGCTGCAGGCTACCCCTGATTGGAATTCCCTTGGATTGGCCTAATTGCAGGCTCTGCCATCATCTGTTTGCAATCACAAAGAGGAAGCTTCTGAAGCTTGGGAATGAGAGAAAATGAAGTGTCCTGACACAACTTCAAAACATCCAGAATGCTCTTGGAGGTTTTCCCACCGCTGTTTGTGAGTAGGAACAAAAAGGCACAGTTCTATTTCCTTTCCATGTCCATCTTTACCCTGCACCCATAACATAAATACAGGCAGCAAGGAAGAATAGTGGTAATTAATGAAGGTCCCCGAGCTGATAATGAGTAAGAGTTCCTGAGTTGTTTTGGAAGGGGTTGAATTAGTTCATTATTGAATTAGGTCATTACTGAAATCATACAATTGTTCTTTCTATGGACAGTCAGCTTAGATTATGAAACATTCCAATTCAGTGCTTCAAATTCAGTTTAAAACACACCCTTGAGCATTTTATCTGTGGTGCTGCCCTGGAAGGCAGGACACCACTCCTGTCTCATGCACCAAACAGGCACAAATTGTCTGGGAGTGGCAGATAAAGGATGTTAATGACTAAAGACACTGAGAATGGTTTTGCTTCTGTCCAGGGTTAGGGGTTTAGACTGGAGAGGAAAGCTGGGAGCCTTGCAGAGCTTGGAGCTGAGCTCCAGGGAGAGGCAGCAGTGCACTGCTCTGGCAGCCTGGCAATGCCAACCTGACCTGGCCTGGCTTCCTCAGCCCCTCATCTGGGAGAGGGTTTGGAAAATGCCAGTGACAAGGGCTGCCCAGGGCACCAGTGAGCTGGAAACCTGGGATTTAGGGATAAACTCCTAATGCTGGTTCAGTGGCCTGGCCAGGACAGGGGGAAAAGAGCAGCAAAGGAGTGCAGAAGGTTCTGTGCAGCCCCAGGACAGCTCTCCTTGGGCTGGAGTAGCAGGACTTCCCTCACACAGCCTCAGAACTGCCAGGCTCCTTGTTTCCTAGGGAAAAGTTAAAATTTCCCAGGGAAAGTGTGAGGGTGAACTGGGATAGTCCCAATTCCTGTGCAGCCCTTACAGTGACAGTTGTCTGGGGCCATGGCCTGGACCTTCTTGTAGCTTTTTTATTAAAACAAGCAAAACAAGCAGAGAAAAAAAGCAATGGCTTTTACTTTTGCTTGTTCAGGGATGAATCTCAGAGGCAAGGCCTTGCTAGTGCTCAAATTCTGCTCCAGTCAAACATCAAGTGATGCCACTGGAGATTTAATGTGTTCTTGAAGTGAAATATCTGCCCCAGTGCTTTATCTCAGCCTCTTTATTGCTCTGGGGGCTGATCTGCAGCTGAATCTGTTGAAAGTGTGGCTAATTACAGCAGGGCTTAGATGAATTCTGAGAGCCTTTGTCACTGGGAAGGGTTAAAAACAGTCTGAACACAATAATAATGGTAGTATTTCTAAAACTGCTTCTAAGTGATACTTAAAATCATGACTGTGAACTTTGTTTTTACTACATCACATCAAAAAAGAGTCTTAGTTCCAGTCACTGCTGAAATACTTGAATTTGAGATGCTCCAAGTTGATTGAACACATTTTTAAAAAGCAGAGCTCTTCTTTACAATGAATCTTCCAGTTATGCCAAAACTACAAATTTCAAAATATATTTGTAATAATAATAGTAATAATAACAATAATAATGATAATAATGCTCCAGACATGCCAGATTTCCAGGCCTGTGGATATAAACTGGGAGCACTGTGCATTTTTCTTTCAGCTGTCAGATCTCCTCTGAAAACGGTCTCACTGAAGGGAGGTTCAGATCAGCAACACGGACCAGAAGAATGTCCAGAGATCAGAACAGTGAGTAAATGTTTGAAAAGACCCTTCTAACATAAGAATTTCTCTGGGACTGTTGTAAAACAAGCAAAAGGACAGGGAATTATGGATTGATTTCCCTGCCAGGATGTGCAGGTGGGACTCCAGGCTCACATAAACTTGGGAATTATATTTCTCAGCCATTCCATTCTGGTGGCAGAACTTACAGCAGCGTTTTTTCTGCAGAGATGGTGTCTCAAAAGCAGAGTTAATAATTTGTAGCCCAGACCAAAATCCAAAAGGGTGGATGGAAATTGTCTTGTTTGTGAGAAGAATGATTCTCTAGTGCCTGAACTAAAGCCTGTTTGTTAAAAGTTTGCTGATGCTTGATTCACTGCTGGAAAAAAACATTGGGTCCTACAAATTTAAAGATGTTTCAGATATGATTTTTAATATAAAAATTAAAATTATTATACATATTATTTTATGTTATATACACTATTTATTATTATATATTATATATGATAAATTCTTATATATTATACATTATTATAATATATATAAATATATAATATAAATATATAATAACAATATATAACACATAAATAATAAATAGATAATAATTTGTAATATATAATACATACTTTATATAATAATATATAAATATATCGATTTTACAATAAATATATAATATATAATGGAATATAATATTTATTATAGACAATATTTATTCTATATTTTATTATATATTTATTATATATATTTATTTTTATATATTATTATAAATAAAATATATAATATCTAAAATATATTAAAATATAATATATATAATATATCTTTATATATATAATTAGATATGATTACTTTTTTGGTAATACACCCAAAACCTTTGGGATTAGGTGTATTCCATAACCACATACATGTACACTGCTAAGTAAGGACATGCAAACAAAGTTAGGGGTCATTTTTTTTCCTTTTAAAATGCAAATTTCAGTGGGAATCTTCCAAAATCAAGGAGCAATTTCATTCCAGTCTTCCTCTGCTGCCTTGCTTTGCTCCAGATTAGGCCTTGCTGGGTGTTTGCCCAGTGGCCACAGAAGGAGGTGCTTTAAAGCACAGCAAACCAGGTTTGCAAATGCTGTGGGCAGCCCTGAGTGGGGACAGATGGTTCCTCCAACCCAGGACTCAGGGCAGGGGAAGTTTTGGAACTTTCCCTCCGAAAAACCAGGGTTTTGTTACCACTGGTTTTAAAACCCAGGAATATATTACACCCTGTGTTACATTCAGATGATCTCATGCTAATCCAAACAGTCTTGTGGGACCTCTGATTCTGATTAAGCATTTGGGCTCGGGGGGCTGTGCTGCCATCCCACCTCCCTGGCAGGGGTTTTGTCAGGAGACATTTGTTATGGTTGTGAAGCAAATATTTCTGTGATAAGTGTTATATTAAAACCCACAAGGATATGAATAATCCTGTTTTCGGTGAAGAGTTTAAATGACATGCTATAAATAAAACCGAGGCCACACATCGACTGCAAAAGGTGGGGAAAAAAAGAGAAATACTGAATAGCTCTGTTCATCCTGCCCCCTAAATGGGGTGAGGCCACGGGGAAAAATGTCTTTGAATTGTGTCACACAGGAGAGGTGAATTAGGAGAAAAATGTCTTTGAATTGTGTCACACAGGAGAGGTGAATTAGGAGAAAAATGTCTTTGAATTGTGTCACACAGGAGAGGTGAATTAGGACTGCACATGGCAGCTTTAATTCTGGTGTTCTAGCTCTTGCACACTTGATTTTTCGAGCTGGGTTTTTAACATGGCTGGATGGAGAGGTTCTTATTAATTTTGTTTGCCATCATGCAGCAAAATCCCACTTGAAGGTAGCTGAAAAATTCCTGATACCTGTTGTATTCCATTTCCCAGTCTGGGATGTCATGGTAATAATGCTGATCTTCACTTGGAAGTGCTGAAAGGGCTAAAGATTAAAAATAACCTTTAGCATGGGAGTATTTTAGCCCTGAAGTATCACTGGTGATTCTCTAAGGTCATTCATTCCTTTAACCCCACCTGAAGGAATTCCAGCACTGTAATCCCTACTTTACAAATGGGAAGTAGATGCACTGGGCAGGATAAAACTTGTTTTGTGCTTTCTTAGTGTAGCAGAGGTGGGACAGGAACAGAGGAATACATTGATGCTCTTGAACTGGGATGTTTTACCTTTCCTCTCCAGGATTGCTCTTTTTTTGGGAGAAAGTAGTTTTCCCCAACCTTCCCCCTTCTCCTTACTAATGTCTTTCCACGTAGAAATAATATTTGGGATCTGAGATTGTGCCTTCTGAAGTGGTTTCCATCTTGCTGTCCTCCTAAGAGAACTTTAACCTTTATTGAATGATCATGTTCAGCTACATATAATCACAAAGCCATAAAAAAACAAGCCCCCTTGTATTTCTATCCACTGCAGCAAAATGTACCTTTAAGGAGAAAACATTGCTCCAGTGTGACTGTCTGAATTTATTGGCCATTAGAAGCCTTACAGTGTGTGGCTCACATTTTAGAACTCCTGATTTCAAGCTTAATGTGGTCAGGAAATATAAAAATACATTTATTTATGTCATCTACTAAAAATCCCAACCTATGTTACTGCAAGTCTAACCCACTGTGTGTTTATGTTGGAGATGAATGATGGGGTTGTAGCTGCCTGTGTTTCAGGCCAGGCTGAATGGAATGATTCTGCAGCACAACTATGTGTGTATTTTTTTTTTTTTAAAAAACCTTCTTTTTATTTACTGCATGTGGCAGCAATTTCCTTCCTCCCAGAAGCCACTGCCCAGCTCTCAGGGGCAGCTGCCTGACTCCCATCAGAGTCAGAATTTACTGAATTGTTCAAGGTTGTCAAAATCCAGACGTTTCATTCCTGCTGATACCTGTGTTGTTGAATTTGATGTGCTTTTCCAAGTCTTTGGAGCCTGCTTTGGCTGATGTTTGCACCAGGTTTCCTCGTTATTAATCTTCAGGAAGATATATTTGAATACAATCTCAGATGTTTGATAACTAGATGTTCCCACAGGATGGGAGATCCCATTCCATCCCTCCTGTCGTGGCTGGCTGGGAAGGAGCTGCCAGAAGAGCTGCCCACTGTTACTGGTCCCTCTTAACAGGGATAGAAGGTGCTGTTCATCATCACAGGTAATTAAAAGTGGTGATGAACTGTGAGGTTCAGCTCTAAACTGAAAGCTGAGGAGAAAAATGATCTGGCAGATATAAATGAAGCGGGTGAAAGACAGTGGGAGAGGACTCTGGGGAGCTCTGGGAAGCCTCTTGGAATTAAAATTAAGGGTTTGAGTGTTTTCTCACCAGAGGAAATATTTAATATCAGGTCAAACGTTATAGCAAGGAAAAGTAACGTTGTATAAAACATGAAAACAAGTGACTCACGATCTTCTGCAGGAGCCTAAAACTTTCCAGAGGAGAGAGATCCATCCCTGGAGCAACTTGCAGCCTTCTGAAAATCAGCTTGTCTGGCTGGGTTGTGTTTCCCAGGTTCTCCAGCTGATTCTCTGAACCCAGGGATGGGACAGCCCCCACCAGTGTTTCTGCCCCAGGCCCAGGGAACTCCTGCCTCGCTTCCCCAGCCGAGGGTCCCTGATAAACCCTTCCAGGAGGACATTCCTCTGCTGGTCTCAAGTGACAAATGTGAGTAAACACTGTCAGAGGGGCTGCAGCAGCTGCCTTTTGGTACCTCCTTTCATTTGGGCTTTGGTTTTGGGGTACTTGGACTGTCCCTGGGATGAAGTGACACACGGGGATCTCAGCTGACCTTTCATGTGCCATAACAAACAGGTCTGGCTCCCCTGAGCTGGGACTGCACTGGGCTTTTGATGCAATCCCTGCATCAGCTCTGCCCTCCTGGCATCAGCACAGTTAACCTTTTTGCTCAGCACATTTCCCCTCCTGTGGAGGTGGACAATGAATACAAATATGATGCAAATGATTTCCTTTTCAATGTGAAGGCTCCCTGATTGAAAACACACTGTCCAGGAACCTGGGTCTGTCCTGTTCCCACTGAATGGAATGTCCTTGTTGCCTCTGACTTTAGGGGTTTCAGGATCAAACTCAAAGTTTCAAATGGGTTGAAAAATAACATGTTTTTTTCCTCTGGAACTGAGGGTGAGTTACCAGTTCAGTAAGGAAGGTGTAAAGAATACAGAGCAGAAAAAACTGGGGGAAAAATTAAGAGAAGTTAAAAAACCAGCATTAAAGATCGTGCTTGAGAGTCCAGAAGTTTATCAGAAAATCAGAAGCTGAGGTTGGTGGAAGGGATCTTGGAATTTCTTTGGACAGAAGCAGGGGAAGAGCTGAGGAAAAACTAAATTATTGTGCCTGGGACAATGCTGGAACTTCCATATCTTGAGTTTGGTGTACTCTAAACTGTGGTCTAGATCCCTCAGCCACTTTCCCAGCTACTGGGGAAGTCACACCTTGGGGTTATTCACCCAGGGAGGAAAGAATATTTTGAGTGTCTTTCTTTGGATTTCCATGTCTTACCTACATGGCTTCTCCCTTCATATATAAAGACTCTTAAAACAACATTAATGTTTGTTATAGAACTGAAAATAATGTGGGTGTACAGGGTTGGGTAGTTCCTTCATGAGGCTATTTTTAAATTCATATTAGCACTGGTTTAGTTTACAAAATCATGCATATATATATCAGTATCAGGGCTCTGCTCACACTGCAGTTTTGGTATGTGTTGTAGTTAATTTTTATTGAAAGAAATATACTCTAAAATTATGGGAGGGCCTTGCTTATTCTAAAAAATATTTCCTAATTAAGACCTTCTCGTGAGTGCCATCACCCAGCAAACAATCCTAATGCTCTGGTGGGACCCTAAATGTGTGCAGAGCTCCCAGCCCTTGCAGTCCTGGTGGTGGAGTTGGGGTGTAGGTGATTTTAAAGGAGCTGCTTTGTTTGCTGTAGGAATTCATCCATCTCTGGGGTAGAACTCGCAGTTGTTTTAACAGAATGTCTCAGGATTAGCAGCCAAGT